ACCATTGCAACAAAAAAAAATTATATACTTTTGAAGGACTATGTTAATTCTTTTGTGGGGTTGAGTACATTTATGTTACAATCACAGTAAAAGGAATGGAAACATACATGAAACTGAGAAACATAGTGGACGTGACCATAATGCCATACTGAGTGGCTCTTTCTCTATACTGTCTTTCAGCATGCTGCTACTGTGTTCATATCTATCTTAGAGTCTTTAATTTAAACCCATGTGTCATCAATTCACAAATGTACTAGACATGGCCAATTAACCTTTTGACTTCCTTAAAGTCAAAAGGGCTGGGAAATTTTCCCAAATGTATCCAAGGTATCTGTTCTCTACTCACTTTTCCTGGGGTTATGGAATTATGCACATAAACATATGGGATTATGCACATAAACACATGGGATTATGCACATAAACATATGGGATTATGTACATAAACATATGGGATTATGTACATAAACATATGGGATTATGCACAATGTCTAACATCTTTCAGACTGGAAGTCTGGTTAGATTCAGAAGTATGAGGGATTATTTCCACATGTAAGTTATGAGAGTTCCTATGAATGAAGAATAAAATAGAATAGTTAGAAAAGGAAAGTCTATTTGGAAGGGGCAGCGTGTTCAAAGTTTAGATGCCAAAATTAAAGCAAACACTAGGCTACATGGAGTATCTCCTGTTCTCTCATTTCAGAATAAGACAGTTTTTCACTGTCTTCTTTCTGGCATTCCTAGTCTTAATTAGAAAGGATAACAGGAGGTGCTTTTTACAAGGAATCAAGAATCCTAAGTGACAAATAACTGTACACCTACAAATAAATTTTACTGAAAGACTTTTTGTTACCATATTAAAAATGCATGTGACATCTAAATGTTCAGATTTTATTAATTTGTATATGCTTAACAGTCATCATCATTATAATGGTTACAGTTAAAAATTCTTTCAAGCAACAAATTTTCTACAAATTACATCAGTAGATAAGAAAAGCTGTAGAAAGGCACTTTTAATATTCAATCAACAAGTATTTATAGAACAGCTAAAATGTTTAGAGGAAAAATCTTGGCATTCTGAGGTGTAAATAACGCATCAGGAATTTTAGTAGGTGGGATAAGTTCTCCCTTCAATAAGGTAGAAAGCAATAAAACACAGCAAAAACATACATGCTTTTTTTCAGAGATATGATGGTTTATTTGCATATGTAAGTTATGAAAGTTCCTATGAATGAAGAACAAAAAATAGAATAATTAGAGACAGAATGTCTATGTGGAAGAGGCAGCATGTTCAAACTTTGGAAGCTGGAAACTAGTTAAATCAAGAGTTCATGAAAGACAAAAAATTGTCAGAAAGGCACGTGAGTAAAAGTCACATGGAAGTGGGACACTAGTATTTAGTAGAGGTCACATGAAAATGCTCCCACTCTGTTTCAGATGAGGCAGACACCACAGTTCTTTTAAAATCACTTTGGTATCTGGTATCTCTGAGCCAAGGATGAGCTTTCTCATAAAGCTGTGAGCTAGGTGACTCCATGGATAAATGAGAGAGGTGAAGAAGCAAGTTAGGGGTCTCTGAATTAATCCACATAAAAGAAAAGAGCAGGTCTACGTCATGTATTTTCATACAGCAAATACAACCTTCCATATGGGAGATGTTGAACTTCTAGAAAGCACAGAGTTTCCATCAAAATTTCCTTTAAAGGTTTATTTATCATCTTATCTATTAAAATGATTTGCCTGTATGTATGTCTGGCTTCTGTAGGCCTATGTAGAAAATGTGCCTGGAGAGGGCAGAAGAAAGGGCATCAGACCATTGGAACTGGGCTTATAGATAGTTGTGAGCTAACATGTGGGTGGTGGGAACTGAACCCAAGTCTACTGTAAAAGCAGCTTTAAAATCATAAATCTATATTTTAAAATAGACATGCTATTACATGGTTCAAAATTCTTTTAATTCAGTGTTTCAGCTAAAGCTGGAGGCATTTGAAATTTAGTTCTGAATAAGACAGGTTTTGCAGCAAGAGGAAAATAGAAGAGTGTCTTCCTACTCATCACAGACATGGACATTTTATTGATTTGATATGCTCTGAAGAAACACCAGATAAATTCCCAAACATTGAAAAGAGAGGCGCTTGAAATATCCGTTACTACCCTTTTTAAGAATGGTCTGAATTTATTCCAAGTTTTTGCAATCTGTTATACATGTACAAATATTTAAACATATAAGCAATGAGAATTTTTGCTGGAAAAGAGTTTCCAACTGGCTGATGAGTTTATTAGTATCAAAGAAATTTGAAAAACTACATTCAAACAGAAATTCAGGTTAGTTCATTTTTAGTCCATAATTATGCATGTTCAAAAATCATAATGACTTCTTCTCAACAGTCTGGTAAGAATTGGAATTAATACACTTGGGACCCTTATGATTCCTGCTTCAAAAAATTCATGCAAAACTAAATGAATGCCAAGTAATGAGGCCATTTTTTGACATGGGATGTAACTTTCTGTGTTATCTGAGAGTTTATAAATCCATTGTTGACTGATCTCCTTCCTGTTGCAGAAAGCAGCTGTAACCTGGCAGAAGTTATATCTTCTAGTATCTCAGAATGTGCAGAAAAAACTTACAAAGTTTTATTTTAATAACATTAATATTTTATAATAACATAATATTAATTTATTAATATTAGTTAATATTTTATAATAACATAATGGACGGAGGGGGAAAAACCTATGGTGGATGTGAAAGTCTTCATGCCATATATATCAAGTTAATAACTTCAGGTGGTCATGAATTTATTGTAAAAACAAACATGCACCAATACCATGAAAATTAAAGGCCATGCTGCATGGGCAAGGACAGTTTGCTGAGAATGAAATCAATGAGGACAATTTTAGAGAATCCTTCACATTTGCTACTGAAAGATGCATATATTTTACCCACAAGATCTACTACACTAATAGCTTCACTGAGACTCCTCAACTCCCAACTGCACCTGAGATTGTCACTGGAGTTGCTGATGGCGTCAAACTTCCTAGATTATTAAACAAAATAGATCATATTAACTGTAAATCATTTAGTATTCAACACCTGTAATTTGGAAGTTTTTCCACACACAGCATATTGCTCGCATGCAAACGAGCAAATTAATTGCACAACAGATTACTACTGTTCTTCTGCACACCAGTTTGCAGTCGCTATTTGAATTGAAATGTGTTGTTATACCAACATATTAAAGATATTTCCAAACCTTGGAAGTAAACAAGTATGAGAGTTCATTTTAAAAAGGGAGAAAAGAAAGAGAGGGAGAAAAGAAGAAAAATTATTAAAAGAACAGCATTGTGTAAAATTAAATCAATGCCAAATAGTAATATTCTGACATGGTCTAGTAATATTCTGACATGGTCTATAAAACTTTTTGTTCTTCTCTCTCTCTCTCTCTCTCTCTCTCTCTCTCTCTCTGTGTGTGTGTGTGTGTGTATTTGTATGTATCTAATATATATTAAATGATATAATTTATAAATGAATAATCCTTCTCCTGTTGTGAAGTTTAATTGGTTTCTAGGTGGCTTCCCAACAACACAACACATTTCAAGGACACAATAAATATACATGTTTACATTCAATACATCTTCAGCTGAAAAATGCTTAAATAAAAGGTGAATAAAACATTAGAAAATCTTTACCTATTAATACTTCCCTACCTGAAATTTCTTTAAATGAAGTTTTCTTTGTACTGACTTATCTAAGATATCCAAGAATCTAGGAAATCAAGAAAGCATATCTTTTCCTCAAATTTTATATTATACCTACCCTTAAAATTAATAATTAGATCATTACAAGAGAACTTAAATAAATGACATGTATCAAATTTAGGAATTAAAAGAGGTAAAACATTAAAAACAGTGAAACTAAAATTCTAGTTTTTAAAAATTAAGTCTGTGATATATTGGTGAAGGTCAGTCCGTCCTGACAAATGTCTTATTTGGGTACAGGATATTGATAGCACAGGAGGCTATGCCTGTGTTGGAATGAAAGATTACATGTAGGAAATTTCTTTGCACACTTTAAAAAGTGCAATCTATTACACAAATGAACTTCACTAAAAGAAAGTGGAAGTCTCAATGTTCGAAATATTATCACTATCACAAAGAATGGTTTCTCCTAAAAGAACATGTGAATACTGACCAGTATTCCATCTTTCACAAGTCTAAAAATATTATTTCAAAATTCACAGTGGCACAGAATTCTGGTCAGTACCACAAGTACCCTAACATCTAGGCAATAGCTATATAACAGTTCAATTTCGATTCTAAAGAGATAACTAGACTCGAAGAACTAGAATTTAAAAGGTTATTCTTACATTATAGCAAGGTATTTGTCTGGCCTAAAATGTGTGGATCAAAGAAAGAGAGAGAGGCAGGCAGGCAGGAGGAGAGAGAGAGAGATAAGGATCAGGAACACAGATCCATTATTTACTTACTGGCAAAACGAAGGTAACTATTTATAAGATTAGAAACTGTTGCTTGCTTCTTCTTAAAATTGTTTGGTTTTAGCCACACTCTTACGTCCATCCAAGTAGAAATAATCTCCATATGCTAAGTTCTAATAGTACCTGAAATAATTCTACAGTAGAAACATATTCTATACATTGTTACCTGGTATGACTATTTAAAATGGGAAATTACTTTAACACTTAGATTATGGACAAGTAATTTACATCAAAAATTGGTACAAAGAACTAATGATCATAAAATACTGAATTTTCTATTTAAGCTAATATAATTTTCCAAAATTGAGTTGTTCCAAATGTAAAATATTTTGTTTTAACTCCAAAGAAAATAAAGGTTAAAAATGAGGAAGACAGCAAAATGTTCTATGTATGTTCTAACATTCAGTTTTACTTCATTTAATCTTTTTTAGGATATTTATTTATTTATTTATTTATTTTCTCTCTCTCTCTCTCTTCCTCCCCCTCCCCCTCCCCCTCCCTCTCCCTCTCTCTCTGTGTGTATTTTGATGGTATACATGTTAATGACAGTGAACAATATGAAGGGATTGTTTCTCTCCTTCCATCATGTTGCATTTCAGGGATGGAACTCAAACTGTCTGTGTGGTGACAAGTATCTTTCCCACCAAGCAATCCTGCTAGCTCCAAGCTTTATTTATTCTTTGAAAAATGTAAGTAATTCTCTAATTCTCCAGGAAATAAGCAGCTTATAAAATGTCCATGCAATAACTTATAGATAAAAAATTGTAAGTGTAGGGTACAAATTTTCCTCAAATACAGTAAAAAATTAATGGAATGGTTCAATTCATTTTTGTTGTGAGAAAAATACATATAAAGATATAAACAGTGTAACCAAGATCTAATTAATCAGGTCTAGCACAGAAAAGTGGTAAAGTCTTGTAAATATGTAACAGTACTTAAAAAAGATTGATGTGCTATGTTTTGAATATCTTTAAAACAAAAGTAAAACCAATATAGAAATTTCTATCTAGGATTGATAGTTTTATAGATTTTATAATCCATTAAGTTGGCCTACTGCTACTACCCTTTTATTTTATCATATTTTGGCACTATTTTAAAACATTTCATTCACTTTGTACACCTAATAGAACTCATTACAAGTTTTAGAAAGTATGTTCTAAAAGAATGTTAAGCTGTCTCTTCACTAAATTAATGTCCGAAGTCTTCAAGATGGATATAACTTGTGCCACTTGATAACAACCTTTTCCGGATTTGTAATTGTCTCTGTCCATTGGTTTACTGCTTCAATATTATTACTGTCTTCACTTATCCAGAGCTGTAAAGAACAGTACAACCATTCAACTTGATAATTATTAGTAACTGAGTTTAAATAAATACTCTTACTGTTAAGAAATATGGACAAGTTTGGAAACATATCTTTAAATAAATACAATTCCACATTTTTTCAAAAGGTGCTTGGTGATTTGATGATTTGATAAATGTTAAAATATTTAACCTGTTGAATCATTCTGGATTATGTGACCCAATTCAACTTAAGAATTAAAACTGAAATATTATTTTAGAAAATCACCTTGAGTATTCTTTCCTGTTCAATTAATCTAGAAGCTCAAATAAAATTGATCATTTTACTCAAAAACATTGTTGCCAAAACATAGAAATGTGCATTTGAGCTCCTTTTACATTAAATGAAACTATAATCTTAACTGAAATCTAATGACTTGTCATTCTAAATCCATAATAATTTCATCATACCTATTACTTCTATAACTATAGATGATACATGTGAATCATCTGGAGAAACTTGAAATATTGTACAAATACAAGGCATCACAATGAGTTTATAAGATCGAAAAAAGGTGGACACACAACTGAAAAAACTCAAATCTTTGTCTTGGCTATAACACTCACAAATGCTGTAACCTTGGAATTAACTTACCTGAGACCAAGTTTCTAATTCTTCTAATAGATTTGTGTAAATCATTAGTTTCCAATTCTTTTTCTATCTTGGCCTAAGAAGAACTTTTCTTCAAACAACATCTTACATAGAATCTAATACATAACACAGGTAACACTAAGAGTACTTGGTTAGATAGACTGGGAGAACTTGATCTCACATATGATTCCCTTATGGTGACTGACTTCTGAGGCCACTAGAGAAGAAGCTCTCCAGTTTTATTATCCTGGAAATCATCTCGCAAATTAAATTTCCATGAATTCTTTAATTCAAGGTCCTCTCCAAATAAGAATACAGAAAGCTGAACCACTTTAAATTAGCAGTCTAATTACATAAAATGAGTTTATATAAATCTTTGAAAAATCATACACATAATCTGAAAGTCTCACCTAGACTACTAGTAGCAGGTTTTTTGTCAAGTGAAAGTTTTAACATCAGTTAAAGACTTCAAGACTTAAATGTGGCACAAACAGTTAGAATTAAGATAAAAAGCTAACTAATAGCTACCGCAAATCAAAGATTTTAAAAAAGAAAATATAAAAAAAGAATTCTACAAATTTATATTTTATCAAGCCCTATACAAATTACTGAGACTTTTAATTAATCCACAGTAGAACTAACTATCCAGATGATATAAAAAACATTATTAAAAATTGACAATTTCTAGAAATTAAAATCTATTAAAACTAAATTATCGAAATATATTAATATATCACATAGTAATATAATAATATAAAAGGATCATTTTAAATAAAAAGTTAAAGATTAAACAGAATAAAATAAATGTGTTACTCAAAGTCTTAAGTGTGATTTACATATTTAGGTTTCTCTTCTTTTAAAATTGAAAAGTTCAGAAGGCTTAAAAAATATGCTTCACTGTTCAGAAATGTTATTTTTTTATATTAAAGCAAAATATCTGAAAAAAATTGATTCTGAGGTAATACTGAATTTTAATTTAGAATCTTGAAGAATCTTCATACAGTCATCTTAAATTCATCTTCTTTCCTTTGTTAATAAACTTCATAGTAACGCACAGAGATGTATCAGGAAGAAATTCTAGGTAACATATACTAACCTGGCCCACAAAATGTTTTCTTCTAACAGAGCCCCGACTGTAAAGTTTAATAAGGAAAACAATTTCTTTTTCAGTCTGTATAAGTGGAAAAGTCATAGTTTCTCCCCATTTCACTCTTCCACTGGTGGCCTTCAGTAAGCGTGTCTTCTTCTTATAAATCAGCTCTCCTGAGCTAAACATCCCTACCTTCACAAAAAAACCTAGGAAACAAGAAACTGAAGTTTATAAAATTTTATGTGAAATACTACCTAAGGATTTTTATCTACATATGGATTATTATAAAATATAAATAATCAACTTGAAAGGTCTTCCGGGTTGTTATTTGACTATAGAACACAAAACTTTTGTCACACTTTACAAATAAGTAACTGTGGCCTCAAATGAACTTAATATTCCTCTGGTCTAACTGACATCAAAAAGAAGAAACAATTATCAGCAAAGGAAAAGGCACTGAAAAGTATTACAAGAAAAGTGTCCACTCTCTGGACATCCAGAGGTATTGATTTCACAATTTTATAGGTAAATTTATTTGCTTCTGATGTCATAAGTGTATGTGTACTAGAATAAAACAAGTAAATATTCTTAAGTAAATATATGATCATTCACTTTGACAATGATAAAATAGTTTGTCTGAACTATAACCAAACATAACAATTATCAACTTTAGGAACAATACAAAAAAAAGTAAAGATCACCCAAAACCAACTCTGCTGGCTCTTAACATTGGAATGTTCAGTCTTTAGAGTTTTGAGAAAATAAAACTTTTGTTATTTAAAGCAAAGGGGAGAAAAGGATATTAAAGAAGTTGGGAGCAGGAATATCAACTAGACAGCTGCCCTGGATAAAACTGTGGGTAAATATTTTTTCACCTAACCATAATTTTCAATGTGACACAAAATGACTATAGCTGAAACAACAACTGTTGTCTGGCGACTATGAGGAGTCAGTTGATAGAACTGGGGCTAAAAGGCAGCAAGAGAGGAAAGAGGAAACGGCTAGAAAGTGTGGGATCACAGGATGAGGAATGGGATCTGACTGTTTATAAGGCCCTAGGGATCAGAACTCCCGTCCTAACGTATGTATAGAAAATACTTTACCAACTGAGCTATCTCCCACCCTCGTCCTGCCTAGTGCTTTTGACGAGGAGTTATTCACTTTTTCATGTTTATTATTCTTTTCAGATTCTTCCTAGTCTTCAGTGAAATTTTAAGGACATAATTTAATTTCTGTGTATGTACAAATGAGTTAGCATAGTTTATACAAAACTGTCTTGCATATTATTAAATTTCTGACTTACAAATTTCTTATTTTAAAATTATATAATCTTCACTGTTCAGAATGCTAATCACGTTTCCTTTACTTTGCTTCATCCAACTCCCTACAAAATTTTCTATTTTAATGGTCCCTTTAAAGAAAAAACTTTTGGTTTTATTGACTTTTCTTAACATATTTATCAACTTCAGCTTTCCTAATACTTCTTATTTTTCTAACTTCTTAAATTGAATGCTCAGTTTTATATCTTTTTAATCTTTCTTAGTGAGAATACTTTTACTTTGGGAGGATAATTCCCTCCCACTCTTAGCTGTTAATATAGGGTTCTTCTCAAACATTCAGATATAAGGGTGGCCTGGTCAACTAAGCATTGCTCACCAATGTATCACAGTCCCTAGCTGAACATCGAGAGAAGGACACAAACTTTAATGCACTTATCTTTTAGATCTTACCCTACTGGAACCTCTTCACATTGTATGTTCTTTGATCCAATGTTATACTTACTCAAAGCCAGAGGTGTTGATGAACTTGGAAGGTACTGTGCCTCGAGAATTTGCAGCTGAATCCTGCTATTTACTGCTTGAAAACAAGTCCCCAGTTCAAGTTCTGCTTGGCAAACCTATACATGAAAAAACATCGTTTGGCAGTTCATAATAGAATTTTGAGACATTTCAAAAGTTCTAACATAAAAAGCTAGAGTAAAATATTCAAAGTATTATTTTCTACTCATATCCAAACTCAGAAGCTACGAGAGGTTTTAAGGACAAATACCATGAATTTCGAAAATATATTCACTTGCACAGAATCTGAAAATACATGACATATCTATATACTGAACTTCAAAACTACTGATACAAAAGATAAGTCCCCCAGTAGCCGAGTTGCACTCCAAGTGTGTTCTAGTTCCCCTTTGGAGGCCTTGGGGAGAGACTAACCAGCTTGGAATCATGTTCCACCAATCCCTTCCCAGTCAGGTCCACCCAGGACACAGCCAGCAGAAGCGAGTTGCATGTGATCTGTGATCTCACTTGTACAGCTCTGGACCCACTTTTTGGTTCCGAGGACCTTGAGGGACCCCAAGATCATCCTGCTTATCCTTGGAGGACTGCAAGGGTCCCAGTAAACTACCAGCTTGAAATGCTGTCCCACCAGTCCCTCGTCAATGGGTTCTGCTTGAGGCACAATCAGCAGTCAGGTACCCTGACCTGCAAAGTCTGGACCACAGTTCCCCTGTTTTCCTGAGAAGTCCTGCTGCCATCAGGATCATCCAGGGAAAACCAGATGCCTAAGGATAGCATAAAAACACAGTCAACAAGACCCAGGGCAATATGGCGCCACCAGAGAACAACTATCCTGCACAGCAAATGCTGGATATCTTAAAGAAACTGACTCACAAAGAGAGGATCTTAAATCCAATCTTGTAAAGATACTAAAGGCCTTTAAATAGGAAATGAATAAAACCTTTAAAGAAATATAGGAAAATGCATTCAAAAAGGCAGAGCACTAAAAGAGAAAGCAAACAAATCTAAAGAAATCAAAGAAAATACAATCAAACCAGTGAAGGATATGAGTAAAACTGTCCAAGACCTGAAAATTAAAATAGCAGTAAAGAAAACACAAACTGAGGTAATCATGAAGATGGAAAACTGAGGAACGAGAACAGAAACCACAGATGTAAGTATCACCAACAGAATACAAGAGATGGAAGAGAGAATCTCAGACAAAGACGATACAATAGAACGAATGAACACATCAGTCAAAGAAAAGGCAAAATCTAAAATGTTCATAGCACAAAACATCAAGGAAGTTTGGGATACTATGAAAAGATCAAATCTAAGAATAATAGGAATAGAAGAAAAAAATCCCAACTCAAAGACACAGAAAACATCTTCACGAAAATCACAGACGAAAATTTCCCTCACCTAAAGAAAGAGATGCCTGTAACTGTACAAGAAGCTTACAGAACACCAGACTAGACCAGAAAAGAAAATCCTCCCACCACATAATAATCAAATCACTAAATGTACAGAACAAAGAGAGAATATTAAAAGCTGCAAGAGAGAAAAGGCAGAGGAACATAAAAAGACATACTTGTCTCAATTACTTCTGATTTCTCAACTGAGACTCTAAAAGCCAGAAAGGTCTGAGAAGATCTATTGCAGATACAATAAGACCACAGATGTCAACCCAGTCTAGTCTACAATACCCAGCAAATCTTTAAAACACTGTAGATGGAGAAACCAAGATATTCCATGACAAAACCAAAACTAAACAATATCTATCCACAAATACAGTTCTACAGAAGAAACTAGAAGGAAACCTCTAATGAGGCTAACTACACTCAAGAAAACACAAAATAAATATTTTCACACCATTAATCCTGTTTATTTTTGTTTATGATTTTTTTCTTCACCCACCCACCTCAAAAATAATGCAGAATTCCTCCCGTCAAAAGGAAATGCAGGGACAAAGAGTGGAACAGAGTCTGAAGGAAAGGCCATCCAGAGACTGTCCCACCTAGGGATCCATCCCATCTGCAGACACCAAACCCAGACACTTACTGATGTCAAGAAGAGCTTTGCTGACAGGAGCCTGGTATAGCTGTTCCGTGAGAGGCTCTACCAGAGCCCGACCAATACAGACTCAGATGTACACAGCCAACCATTGGACTGAGCACAGGGACCCCAATGGAAAAGTTAGGGGAAGGATTGAAGGAGCTGAAAAGGTTTCAAATCCCGTAGGAAGAACAACAATATCAACTATCCGGACCCTCCAAAGCTCCGAACTAAACCACCAACCAAAGAATACACATGGAGGGACTCACGTCTCCGGATGGATATGTAGCAGAGGATTGCCTTATCTGTCTGGCTTCAGTGTGTGTGGGGGGGTTGGACCTGTGGAAGCTTGGTGCCCCAGCATAGGGGGATGAGAGAGTGGTGAGGTGGGAGTGGGTGGGTGGGTGGTAGGGGAGCACCCTCATAGAGTCGGGGACAGGAGAGATGTCATTGGAGGAGGATTCAAATGGGAAACCTGGAAGGGGGACAACATTTGAAATGTAAATAAATAAAATAACCAATTATAAATCAAAAAAATATGAGGGGGAATTAATAAAATAAATATCAAAGAGCAATACAGAAAGTCAACCAAAGAAGTGGCTTTCTGAGAAAGTAAGACTGAGAAACCCTGAGCCCATCTAACAAAAGAGGGAAAAGATGAAAATTAACAAACTGAAGATCAAAATGCTGTCATTGCAATGGACCCCAATGAAATACAGAATATCACTAGAAATCCCAGTGAACACTTATACTCTGAAAAGCTGGATAACCTGAATAAGATAAAAAAAATTAAATGCATATATAATCTAATAAATAAAGCTCCAAAGATATAAAAACCTTAAACATATAAAACATATAGTCCATGAGATAGAAGACATTCTTAAAAACACCTCCCCCAATAAAAGCCTAAGGCCAGGCAGATTCATTGCAAACTTAAGTAAAATTTTCCAAGAAGACTCTTTGTAATATGTTTCATAAAGCAGAAAGTGAATTAATTCACCAAACTAATGGATCCTATGAAGCTAATTTTGAGAGAGAGGTCGGGGGAGGGAGAGGCGCGAAAGTTCTCAATACTTGCAAACAACGTTCAGGAGCACATTAGAATGTGGAGCAAGGGGAACACTCCTTCACTGCTGGGCGGGGGCACAACCACCCTGGAAATCAATCTGGCATTTTCTCAGAAAATTTGGAATGGTTCTAACTGAAGACCCAGCCACACTGTTCCTGTGCATATATGCAAAAGATGTTCCACCATACCACAAGGACACATGTTCCACTATGTTTATAGCAGCTTTAGTCATAATAGCCAGAAACTAGAAATGCCCAGATGTCCCTCAACCAAAGAATGGATACAGAGATTGTGGTTCATTTATGTAATGGAATATTACTCAGCAATTAAGAACAAGGACATCATAGATTTTTCAAGCAAATGGATAGGACTAGAAAATACCATTCTGACTGAGGTGACTCAGACCCAAAAGACATGCATGATATGTATTCACTGATAAGACATTATTAGTCAAAAATTACAGGATCCCCACACTCCACTCCACAGACCCAAAGAAGCTAAACAAGAAGGAAGGTCCACGCAAGGATGCTCAAATCTCACTTAGAAGAAGGAATAAAATAGCCATAAGAGGCAGAAGGACAGAGGGAACTGGGTGAGAGAAGGGAGTGGGAGGGAATGGGGGCCAGGATCAAGTGTAGGAAGAGACAGGAAGGAGGGCCAGAGAGTCAGGAGGAGGAATGGAAATCGGTGGCTGTTGGAGGTGAGGGTAGGGGGATCTATCGGACATGCCAGAGATGTGGAATAATGGAGGCTCCCAGGAGTCTATGGAGGTGACTGTAGCTGAGACTCCTAGCAGTGCGGGTATGGATCTTGAAGTGCCCACCTCCTGTATACAGACAGAATTCCCAGTAGAGAGATAGGGCGCCAATAAAATAAAGCACTCAGTCATAAAACAACAAAGCTATATCCAGTTAATTTTTGAAAACAAAAGCAAAAACATTCATTAGGAAAAAAAGGATAGACTAAAACTGAGAGTGTTGATTCAAGCCTTTCATTCCAACACACTCAGGAGGCCAAAGAATGCGGATGTCTGAGTTCAACAACAGCCTGATCTACAGAGAGAGAGTTCCAGAACAGCAGGGGCTATAGGATGAAATCTATCTCAAAAAAAAAAAAAAAAGATAATTTAGTCAACAAATGGTACTGGCAAAACTGGATATATACCTGCAGAAGAATGAAATAAGATTCTTACCTTTCACCTTGTTAAAAAAAAATTCGTTCAAAATGCATCAAAGATCTTAATTTTAAACCAGAAACACTAAACTTTCTAGAAGATAACACAACTGATAGCCTTGAAATTGTTGGACTTGGCAAGAACTTAATTTTTAAAAGTTTTAGATTGATATATTTTATTTTCACATGTAAAAGGGTTTGACTTGCATATGTGTATGTTCCTAGTGAGCATATGGATGATCATGAACTACCATTCAGAATCTGAAACCAAACCTGGGTCCTCCGCAAGAATGCCAAATTAACAAAACCACTTAAACATCTCTCTAGCCCCATCAAAGACAGTTTTAATAGAACACCAATAGCATAGGAACTAACTACAAATATCAACAGATGAGATTACAAGAAATTTAAAGTTTCAGCACAGCGAAGCAAACAATCAGCAGAGCAAATATTACACAGAATGGGAGAAAATCTTTACCAACTGCAATTCAGACAAGGTACAAACATCTAGCATTTACCAAGTATACAGAAATTAAATACCAAGGAAATAAACACGCCAAACAAGAAACAAGCAAATGAACTGAAGGGACAAGGGAGAGGAGAAAGAAAAGGAAGAGGAGAAAGAAAAGGAAGAGGAGGAGGAAAAGGAAGAGGAGAAAGGGAAGGAGGAGGAAAAGGAAGAGGAGAAAGGAAGAGGAGAAAGGGAAGGAGGAGGGAAAGGAAAAGGAAGAGGAGGAAGAGGAGGAGAAGGAGACAACTACAATGATGATGATATAAATGGTCAATAACTATTTTTAAAATTGGTCAATAACCCAGGCCATCAATGAATGCAAATTAAGACTACTTAGAATACTGTCAGATGGCTATTATAAACAGATCTGAGGACAATGTTGGAGAAGATGTGCAGGAAAAGAAAACTTTATTCACTATTGGCAGGCATGCAGACTAATATAGCCATTGTGGAATTCAGCTTGGAGAACTCTCAAAAAGATAAAAATAAAAACTACCACATGACCCAGATGTATCACTCCTAGCCAAATACTAGAGAACTCTAATCATTACCAGAAAAATATGCATCCTCATTTACTGCTGCTTTATTCACTCTATCAAGGAGTTAGAATCAACCTAGTTATCCACTAACATGAAATATATGAAAATTCATATATGTAGAAAATAAAATGTTATTTAGCTCTAAAAAAGTTTAATCCTAAAATTTTCAGGAAAATGCATAGGCTTATAATGTATAAGATTAAGCACGATCAACAAACAATCTTAGGAAGAAATCTAATTGGATGGTCTTCCTCTTATGCAGAACCTAGCCAATAACATATTGTAAACACACACACATGTGGGACTACAGTTTAACATGTAGAAGAGAGAACAAGAAAGGCTACGTATTAGGTGATATAAACAGAGACCGACTGCAGGTAACGAACATGACTTATGAAAGACAATATAAAGCCAACATTTTCTAGTCTTAATTCTGTCATTTGATTTTTTTCTGTTTTGGGTGGTTGATAAGTTCATAAAACATATACAATAGTAAAAGGGTAAAATCCTATGAGAATCTCCAGAGCTTCATAATGGCTGTGCTAAATATCAAAGCTCATGCATATGGTCTGCTTAATTTTAGTGCATAAATATTCTTGAGTTTCTATGATAAAGTTTATTTCTAAAAAACAGGAATATATCTATAACTATGCCCTCAAATTCTTCAAAGAAAATAATTTCTCAATTTCTTTCACTGAGTTATCTTCTGATATAACCTATCTTTAGCATTTAATATATGAAGCATCCATTTGATATTTATATCTTCAATAAAATATGACTGCATATTACTATCTACTAAGCTATTATAATTGATGCCAGTGCAAATTTCTGTCACAATTACTGTGATTTAACAGCAAAAAAGTAATTTAAATAAGTTTTAATATGATGTAACAAATGTTATAGACACACACACTGGGGGGCTGAAATTGAAAATATCATCAAAAAACAACTAGAAAGAAAGTTTAATTCTTCTGACCACTTTAACAATTTTTTGTTTTGTTCTGTTATTCATTTTATTTCCTAATTCCTCCCACTTTGGTGGTTCTCAAGGCAGACAACACAGTAGATTCACTACAGGGGAAGTTACTGAAGACTACAAATGTGTTTGTCCTGACCCTTAGGAAAATTTAATTTTATTACTTTTGGTGTGAACATGCTTTTAAAGTTCCCAAATGATACCAATATATAGCTGGGGCTCTTTTAATTAGTACTTCAACTCATCCTAAATATTCTTAAAGAAATAAAATATAAATACTCTATAAATTTAAAATCATATATAGGTTAAAGCTTAAGATTGATTTCTAAAAATGTTATCCCAACAGAAAAAGTCTATAGTTAAATAATTAAGAATTTCTAAATACTTTAATGACAGTGTTTGACTGTCTGAGAGACGAAAGTATCAGGTCTCAAAGGTCAAGCAAGCACTTTTTGTTTATAGCAATAACAATTTTAAAAAGTTAACTTTAAAAACACCCATGCTTGGTCCAAAGAGATGGCTCAGTCTAATGGTGACTGGTGCTAAGCCTGGCAACCACAGTTTGATCCCCAGAACATAGAGTGAAGAGAATTCTCACAAGTTGTCCCCTGACTTCTCACACATACTATAGAATACATCTTCCTCCCTCAGATAATACAATTTTTTTTACATAAAAGCAAAAACTTATTAAAATGAAAACAAACCTTCATTCTGTGATGATGGTAGATTATAGTCCAGCAGCACAAATCTTGTTCAACACATAAGGTCCTGGACTCCATCCCTCATATGGGAGGTGCAGGAAGGACCCAAATTACACTCTAACCAATTTGTGAACAGATACATAGGTAGCTTACCTAAAATTCAAACTATTTTTATTAATTTCACTTTATAGTAATCCCAGATTGCATATGGATTTTATGATTCATATTTTTTCTCAGTTGTCAGCTACTAAAATCTTTTAAAAATTATGCGAAAATATTTATACTTCATTGTTATTACTTTCAGGATGACTACTACTGCAGTAAACATTAATGAAAAATGTGGGGAAAGGGTGTCATGGTGTTATTTTGAAGAAAGGAAAGAAATGCTCATGTTAATGCTTTATAATTATTTCTAAAATAATATTTTCAAATAATATTGCTTCTTGAAAATTTATATTCTTCCCACATATCCAACATATATTCAAATTATCTTCCAACAAATGAAAGTTATTAATAAACCATTTTAAAGGTGTGAACTATGTCCATTATTGGATACTATTATCAACTTACAGGAAATTTTGAAGGTGGTATTATTTCCAACGAGTAATCCATTTCCTGGGTACTAAGAGTTCTGAGTGAAAGAGAACATTCTCCAATGGTTTTCTTCTTGGGAGTCTGGGTTTGAATCTTAAATACAAGTCTCGCTGCTTGTAGATTTTGTAGTTTAATAGCAAATACAAATGTTTCCATAAATTCAATAGCCTTGTAAAACAAAAAATATTAAATATAAATATTTCAGAGAGTTTATATATAATTATAGGATAAATTTGTATGTAAAATATATTTGACAAGTATTTTTTCCTTTTCTTTTTTTTTTTTTTTTGGTTTTTCGAGACAGGGTTTCTCTGTATAGCCCTGGCTGTCCTGGAACTCACTTTGTAGACCAGGCTGGCCTCGAACTCAGAAATCCGCCTGCCTCTGCCTCCCAAGTGCTGGGATTAAAGGTGTGCACCACCACCGCCCAGCCTGACAAGTATTTTTAGACTGAGGGAAAGGAGGTCCAGTGACTGGCCCAAATTAGGATCCAACTAAAGGGGAATCTCTAAGACCTGACACTATAACTGATGCTATGATGTAACTACAGACAGGAGCCTAGCATGGCTGCCCTCGGAGAGGCCCAACAAGCAGCTGACTGAGACAGAAGCAGATACTTGCACCCAAACAATGAACTGAACTTGAGGATCACAGTGGTTGAAATAGGGAAAGGCTGAAAGAAGTTGAGGAAGAAGGTGACCCCACAGGAAGACTAGCAGTTTCAACTAACCTGGACCCCTGAGATCTCTCAGACACTGAGCCGCCAACCAGGCAGCATACACTAGCTGAATCGAGGCCCCCAACACATATACAGTAGAGGTCTGTCTGGTCTGGCCTCAGTGAGGGAAGACATGCCTAACCCTCTAGAGACTTGAGGCCCCAAGGAGTAGGGAAGCCTGGTGAGCTGGGGTGTGGTGTGGTAGGGGTGTTGGGACATCCTCTTGAAGACAGGGGGGAGGAGGAATGGGATGAGAAACTATTGGAGGGCAGAACTGGAGGAGGATAATGACTGAACTGTAAAAAAAGAATAAAGATAAATATTTTAAAAAATCAAAATAGCCTTCTAGTCTGAGCCAGTGCCCTGAGCAGACCTTGGGCACTGGCTCTGAATCCAGCCCCACAAAACCCAGGAAAAGGTCAACCCAGGTGCTCTAACACACCCAGAATCATAGATGAGGAGGCCACAACATCTGCCCCAACACTGGGAGTAACTGGGACCATCCGGATCCAGGGACATAGGAACCCCTGCCCAGCCAGTAGCACGGGTTCCTTCTGGTCTGAGTCATTGCCCAGAGCAGACCTTGGGTGCTGGCTCCACACCCAGTCCCATAACACCCAGAGGAAGCTCGACTCCCAGGTGCTCTAATATACCTAGGATCACAAGATCTCAGGAGCTGGGTCCTACCAGGATTTCAGGATCCCAGAGGTAGCTTGACTCCCAGAAGCTCTGACACAACCAGGATCTCAGAATCACAGTATCACAGAAACATAGAGACAGCTGAAATTTGAGGAGTTCTGACTCAACCAGGATCAAAGGAAGGACAGGACCCAGTCAGAGACAGCAAGGGCAGGTAGCATTAGAGATAACCAGATGGTGGGACACAAGCACAAGAACATAAGCAACAGAAACCAGGGTGACTTGGCATCATCAGTACCCAGTTCTCCCACTATAGGAAGTCCTGGATACTCCATCACAATGGAAAAGCAAGATTCAGATTTAAAATCACTTCTAATGATGATGATAGAGGACTTTAAAAAGGACATAAATAACCCCCTTAAAGAAATATAGGAGAACACAGGCAAACAGCTAGAAGCCATTAAACAGGAAACACAAAAATCCCTTAAAGAATTACAGGAAAACACAGACAGGTAAAAGAATTGAACAAAACCATCCAGGATCTAAAAATGGAAATAGAAGCAATAAAGAAATCATAAAGGGAGGCAATCCTGAAGATAGAAAACCTAGGAAAGAGATCAGGAGTCAGAGATGCAAGCATCACCAACAGGATACAAGAGATAGAAGAGAGAATCTCAGGTGGAGAAGATACCATAGAAAACATTGACACAATATTCCAAGAAAATGAAAAATACGAAAAGTCCTAACCCAAAACATCCAGGAAATCCAGGACACAATGGGAAGACCAAAACTAAGGATAATAGGTATAGAAGAGACCAAAAATTCCCAACTTAAAGGGCCAGTAAATATTTTCAACAAAATTATAGAAGAAAACTTCCCTAACCTAAAGAAAAAGATTCCCATGAACATACAAGAAGCCTACAGAACTACAAATAGACTAGACCAGAAAAGAAATCCCTGCCATCACATAATAGTCAAAACATCAAATGCACAAAACAAAGTAAGAATATTAAAAGCAGTAACTGAAAAAGGTCAAGTAGCATATAAAAACAGACCTGTCAGAATTATACCAGATTTCTGAACAGACACTATAAAAGCCAGAAGATCCTGAGCAGATGTCATACAAATCCTAAGAGAACACAAATGCCAGCCCAGGATACTATAACCAGCTAAACACTCAATTAACATAGATGGAGAAACCAAGATATTCAATGACAAAAACAAATTTACACAATATTTTTCCACAAATCCAGCTCTAGAAAGGATAATAGATTGCAAACTCCACACAAGGAGGGAAACTACAACCTAGAAAAAGCAAGAAAGTAATCTTTCAACAACCCCAAAAGAAGATAGCCACACAAACATAATTCGAACTCCAACAACAAAAATAACAGGAAGCAACAATCACTTTTCCTTAATATCTCAACATCAATGAACTCAATTCCCTAATAAAAAGACACAGACTAACAGATCTGGATATGTACACAGGACCCAGCATTTTGTTGCATACAGGAAATGCATCTCGGTGACAAAGATAGACAATACCTCAGTGTAAAAGGCTGGAAAACAAATTTCCAAGCAAATGGTCCCAAAAAGCAAGCTGGAGTAGCCATTCTAATATCAAATAAAATTGACTTTCAACCAAAAGTTATCAAAAAAGATAAGGAAGGACACTTCATACTCATCAAAGAGAAAATCTACCGGGATGAACTTATAGGACCATGAAAGGCAGCCTGGTTCTTGGTTGAGCTAAGGTTGGAAACCTCGGTGACCCTGAGGGACAGCAGGCATTCTGCATGGTTCCAGACACTAGGCTCCTGGCAGGAGGCCGCAGACCTCCATAGATTTTTGGCCATAGGTCACATAAGGGAAACACCCAAAGCCCCTCCACAGGTAAAGGATATGACCACAGGTCATGTAGCCTCAAGATACAACTCTGGTCCAAGATCTCTCTGTGCTCACAGCCATGGCCTCCACCAAGCCAAGCCAGCTGCCCATCAACAAGCCAAGGACTCTCTCTGCAGGACACAGTCTGGGCACTCCTCCTTTTCCCCTTCGGCCTCAGGCTAGATCTAGCCCGCGGGCCCCCACTTCATTCTCAGCTCCACTGTGGCTTCCAGTGGTACCTGGATGCCCAAGAGCCTGATGACCCTGCAGGCCCAGGGACCCCCAAGCCAGCTTCTTCTGTCCCGGGGACATCAGACTGTGCTTCCCAACCCCCAAAGCAATGTCCTACAGCTTCCCATAGCTAACCCTAAACCAGTCCAGCACCAGCATGTGGTAAGCACAGTCAAAAGTTCCTACATCCTGCCTCCCTGAGTGGACCCAGCCCTGTGGCAGAGCAGACAAGGGACCCATTAACCCTATATGAACTCTCAATTCTGAACATCTATGTTCCAAATGCAAGGGCACCCACATTCATAAAAGAAACTTTACTAAAGCTCAAAGCACACATTGAACCTCACACAATAATAGTGGGAGACTTCAACACCCAACCTTCAAATCAGTGGGCAGATCATGGAAACAGAAACTAAACCGAGACACTTTGACATTAACAGAAGTTATGAACCAAATGGACTTAACAGACATCTATAGAACATTTCATCCTAAAACAAAAGAATATACCTTTTTCTCAGCACCTCATGGTACCTTCTCCACAATAAACCATATAATTGGTCACAAAACAGGCCTCAACAGATACAAAAAGACTGGAATAATCCTACGCATCCTATCAGATCACCAAAGAATGATGCTGGTCTTCAATTACAGCAAAAACAACAGAAAGACCACATACACATGGAAGCTGAACAATGATAACTTGGTCAAGGAAGAAATAAAAAAGAAATTAAAGACTGTTTTGAATTTATGAAAATGAAGGCTCGCCATATCAAAACTTTTGGGACATAATGAAAGCAGTGCTAAGAGGAAAACTCATAGCTCTAAGTGCCTCTGAAAAGAAACTGGAAAGAGCATACAACAGCAGTTGACATCATATCTCAAAGCTCTAGAACAAAAAGAAGCAAATACACCCAAAAGGACTAGACAACAGGAAATAATCAAACTCAGGGCTGAAATCAACCAAGTAGAAACAAAGAATCAACAAGACCAGGAGCTGGTTTTTGAGAAAATCAAGATAGATAAACCCTTAGCCAGACTAACCAGAGGACAAAGAGATAGTATCCAATTTAACAAAAACAGAAATGAAAAGAGAGATAACAACAGAAACTGAGGAAAATAAAAAAAAAAATCATCAGATCCTACTATAAAAGCCTATACTCAACAAAACTGGAAAATGTGGATAAAATGCACAATTTTCTAGACAGATACCAGGTACCAAAGTTAAATCCAGATCAGATAAACCATCTAAACAGTCCCACATCCCCTAAATAAATAGAAGCAGCCATTAAAAGTATCAGAAACAAAAAAAGCTCAGGACCAGATGGTTGTAGTGCAGAATTCTATCAGACCTTCACAGAAGACCTAATACCAATACTCTTGAAACTATTCCACAAAATAGAAAAAGAAGGAGCACTACCCAATTCGTTCTATGAAGCCACAATCCTGCTCATACCTAAACTTCACAAAGACCCAACAAAGAAAGAAAACTTCAGACAAATCTCTCTTATGCATATCAATGCAAAAATACTCAATAATATTCTTGAAAATCAAATCCAAGAACGCATCAAAACAATCATCCATCATGATCAAGTAGGCTTTATCCCAGGAATGCAGGGATAGTTCAATATTCAGAAATCCATCAATGTAATCCACTATATAAACAAACTCAAAGGGAAAAAAAAACACATGATCA